AGTATTTGAAAAAATATTGAATTTCAAAATATTTATCAAAAAGTGAACATAATTTTTGAAAAATCATTTAAGGGTATTAAAAATGAAGTTTTTAAATTCAAGTGTTTTGAAAAAATTAATTGGCACAATGCCTTCATTGATATTTGATTAAGAAGAAATTTTGAAGTAAGTATCTAAATGTTTCGAAAATAATTTCACCATTCTTCTAGTGGATATCCACGAAGTTGATTTTCAATAATAGTGAGAGTTTAATATATAAAAAAAACTGAAAAATATTGAAACATGCACGAAGTCATCATCATCATCAAACACATCCACACGATATATTTTACAGTTCAGCTTGATTTTTCTTGAAATATATAATTCAAGTACTAAATACAAACTAAAACCTTTACAACAGCCTAGTTACGATCTTGAAATAATATATTTTGTATGCATTAATGAGAGTCGTGATTTGCTAGAAGAAAAAACAAAACAACGTTTCCGTAAAAAACAAGCGAAATATAGTCTTGTATGTTTTTCATTCCTTTCCTAGGAAAAGATTAGCTGAAATCAAATTTGGTCTGGAAAATGAACTGATTTGGAATGTTGACAAAAAGTATTTTTAATTTAAAATAATGTTAAAAAAATATTCAAATGACGCTTCTAAGTACATCATCAATCATTTTCAGAAAATTTTCATTCGAAATTGTAAAAACACTGCGCGAAAGTAGCGATTCACATTGGATTTGAATAGCTGGAGATTAAATCCATTTGGAAAAACGTTCTCAGGAAGTTTATTCCATACAGACGCAGTTCTCAAGATGACAGAGTTCTTAAACAGTGAAGTTCGAAGTGTACTGAGTTGAACCTCAAAATGATGAGCAGCCACAGTCCGTCACGTATTTCTGATATGTACCGCTTTTGGTGGAATCAAATGTGCCAAGTCACTTAAACACTTCCCGTGAAAGTATCTATTGAAGAGAGACAAATCCCTAACCTTTCTTCGATATTCCAAGCTATCAAGGTTGCACGTGATGTTCGCGTCTTCAATCAAGCAGCTGGCTCTTTTCTGGATGGAATCCAGCAGCATTGGGGTCTGCTTAGAGGCGGAACTCCATACATGAGAACAATACCCCAAAAAGGTCTGATTTGAGCCTTATAAAGAATCAAAAGTTGCTTAGGTGTGTACAGTTTTCTGGTTCGGAACAGTTTTCCAAGCTTTTGAGAAGCAGCCTTTGCAATTCCAGCGACATGATTGTGCCAAGACATATTGGTGTCCATTTTAACCCCCAACACACTTATCGAAGCAGAAAGCGGAATTGTCTGACTTGACATTATTATATCCGGTTCGGAGACATTTATCTTCTTAGAGAAAACCGATGTGAAAGAATTAATGTTTCTTGCTGTATTTTTGGGAGTTTTATCCTCCAATATAGTGAATTGTATCAAGAGGTAAACTTTTCAGTTTACTTCATCTCCTCAAGACGCAACTTGCAGTTCAGGACCAGTGCTTATTTTGAAGTTTTCAGTTTGCTCTTCATCATACATCAGCAGATTCTCTAAGGATTTGCTTATTCTTTAGATTGTGGAAGGTTAAAAACCCAAAAAACAACAATAAAAATTTCTCTACTTCAGTAAAACTTTTACCATTGGAAAATACATTATTTTCTCTTGAAAAATCGTCCCTGAACCATTGAAAAAAAACTTCGAAAAATAAATATTGGCATTGAAAAATGTATGTGAAATGTAATATAGCAGTTTATTTAGAATATTTTCGTTCATTCATTACTGAAGAATGAATAAATATAAAAGTTTCCAATGTATTGCTCCATTATTGGAAAATGTAGAGGGTTATAAAATGAAATGAAATGGTTCTTAAAGACTTATTAAGGTCAGTAAGGCTACTAGTTTGTATGATATCACTATACTAACTTCATATGATTCATGTAATGTATGTGAAGAAGTTAGTATACAATATCCAGTATTTTCCGCCATCTGAAGAAAGAGAAAATATAAAATAAAAAATGTCGAAATTTTTTTAAAATCAATAAATATTCAACTGTCTGAACAACTAGTGGGAAACAGAAAGATTCATACCAAAGGATCAGGTTTCATTCCAATGATATATTCAAGGATAATATCAACATGTCTATAATCCAGTCAAACTAAACGAAATAAAGGTAAGCTTTAACAATAATTTGCATAGAGATGAAAACTGGTAGATGTTAAATGAACTGTTATAAATAAAATATCCAAAGTCTCCAACGATACCAAATCAGCTAAAAAGTTTATTGAAAGTCAAAGTGCCAAAATATCGGTTTTTTCATGTTTCTCGTTAACGGTGAATGTTATCGAAAAAGTATGCCATATGAAAATTGTAGATCATGTAATTATCTACAAAAAAACTGTTTTTATACTGTTAATAATGAGAACTTGATTGAATATTCTCAGAAATCTGTATCCTAACAGAAGTCTTATAAATACAAATTTAAATTGACTATTTGCAAAACTAATATTTCTTCTTCTCAGTTAAACTTGAGGAACTATTGTGATAATAATAATAAGTTTATCGATAGAAAAAATTGTTACATAACACGTATTCACAAAGTCGAAGACTGTCTGTGGTGTTTGTGTAAATAGTGAAAATATATTTCCACCTTCAAATTTCAATCTTTTAATATACAGTGTGTGCGATTTGAAACCACAACATCCTGTTATTTTGGAACCCATGAACCGATTTTGAATGATGACCAATTTTCCAATCCATGTTTTTTTGACTGACCCTTTATCAAAGTCTATGAACTTTTCAAAAAAGATTCAATGAAACAATATTTCGCATACTCGGCTACGGAGTTGCATAGTTACAAATTCTGGAGGATCTTCCTCAATTGGCCTGGTGTTATTTCACCACACTTTTGGTATATCGTCTTCTTCAATTCATTCAAATTTCGTGGTCAATTTTTATAAACACTTCCTTTCAGAAAAAATCTAATGGAGTCAGGTCTGGTAATCGAGGGGGCTAACAAATAAAAGGGCTGTTCCTTCGAATCCATCTTTCTTGAAATTTTTCATCATGATATTGCCACACAGCAATCACATCGTGAATGGAGGCACTGTCTAGCTGAAATATAACATATCTGAGTTCTTCAATGTTTAGTTCTTCCATGAAATCCAAGAATTTCGTTGTAACTCTCTTCACCAAATACTCGTGGAAAGCGTTTGAGAATACCTAACTGTCAAAATTATACCAACAAAATAAGAGACAACTCAATTTCAAAGCCTGCTATGAAAAACACTGCCTGGCTTACTGATCTAATCATATGAATATGCCGTATGAAATGAAATCATGAGAATTTTGCCAAAATCTGTCACCGGGTTGAGACAAATGATTAAAAAAATCTTATAAACGGGTATTTTCACAATCGTTGATTGATTATTTATTATACCAAAAAATCAAACGATTTGGATAAAACAATTTCAACTATTGATTTTTGGGACATTTATCTGTATAACGGCGATAAAACTTCGTATTTGAGTATTTCATGTGTTTCTTATTATAATGGTTACTCCACCTTTCCTTTGAAGCGTACAGTTTGTTATACCGGTTCAGCCAAAAAATTATGAATTTTGAAATTTCTCATCATATAACTAACGCACTGTATGATATATTGGGCTGAAACTTGGTATACAGAGGTTTGAAGTATGCAAAAATGGAATAGGTTATCCAATTTTTCGATAAAAAAATGCCTAATTTCCCTTTTAGAAATTTCAACCCATTGAGCAAGTCATGGTAGGCCTTGAAAATAAGAAAAATCCATATCTATCAACATCTTTGAATAGAGCTCGAAATCGGTTCATGGGTTGATTCCAAAATAACAGGATATTGCGGTTTGAAATCGCACACACTGTATAAGTATGTCTGATATGCTACTAAAACAGTGGTCACTTCATGAAATACTGAAAATCAAAAAATAAACATGTAATTCAACACACAATTTTCTCAACATAAAAATACAGGAAAATACAGGGTGGGGCACCGAAAACGAAACAGATCGAATATCTTCAAAACACATGTGTTCTGAAAAAAAATGCAAAAACACGTCGATTTGTAAACCAAGGAGGACATCTTCCTATCATAACCTCAACTGTCATACCTCTTCCCCCACCTCTCGGTTACTATCACCCAAACAATTTGAATAGGGAAAGTAGTAAGTGTGACACATCGTTAAAAAGGTTATTTCATAAGGAATTCAGCCATGTCAATTTTAGCTACCTAACTTTCAATTTTGGCGCCTTCTTGTGGGAAAAAAACTGTTCCGTATTCCAAATTATGTTACTTCATTCGCAAGTTAATTTGACATAAATTCGGTGACCATGCATTATGGAGTTTTTCTAGGGGAAAAACAAGATGGCGGCTTCACAATGGCGGACAAGATTTCCAATTATGGTCTTGTTTTTCAATGCAAAGAATCAAGTTGGTGACTCCAAAATGGCGGACGAAATTTGTAATTATGGTTCTATTTAACCCGACACCGAAAACGAATTCTTGAAAACACATGTGTTGTGAACATAATGCAAATATACGTCAATTTTAAATCCAAGGGGGACAAATCCTATCGTTACCTCAACTGTCGTACCTCTCCCCACCCCTTGGTCACTCATACAATTTGATTAGGGAAAGTACTAAGTGTGACACATAATTGAAAAGGTAATTCCATATGGAATTCAGACATGTGAGTGTTCGCTACTTAACTTTTCATTTTGGCGCTCTATTGCAGGAAAAACAACTGTTTCGATTTTCAATTCACATTTTATTTGCACAGGTAATGTGAACAATTCACGAAAAAAGACCAACAATTGAAAAAATTACATAATCCAATCATCGCAAACTACTTTAATTCACAGTAGATGCTCAAAGTGTTCGCCATGAACTGCCATAAATGAGTATAAGTTATTGTCGAAACGCCGTCTGACGTTTTTGAGCATTTCTGAAGTTATTTGATGACATTCGTACCTTTGGAATAACAATTGACTCACTACGCCTATGTATTGGTATAATAAAAAACCTTTTGTTTCAGTGCTTATTTATGTCAGTTTCTTGACAGTAGTACGTCAGGTACATTAATGAGTGAAATAAAAAATGGTTTATTCTATTCACGATAGGGTAGAAATAACTGAATATTGTTATTATAAACACGTCAAATTGAAAACCCAGTAAGAAATGAAGCAGTGGAGGTAGCAGTTTTAGGACAGGTGAAAATCGATCGTTCAGATTAGGGTTTGAATCCTCTATAAGAATAAGTTTCTTCTATTTTAACAGGAATGAAATTGAAAACTTTTGGCACTAGCTCTGGCATCGTTATCCTATAGATTTTGAAGCTAGCGGTGAAATAATTGATTCGTAACAATGTTCAAGTCTCCGAAGATTAGATTTTCGTTTGAACTCAAAGCAGGATGCAAGAAAGAAATAATGCTGGAGAATGTCAAGGATTCTAGATTCGGAGTATAACAAATCAGATTTAGTAATATTTTCAGAAAGGTTTTTGCAGAATTTCCAACTTTTTATGTGCTCTTTGAGAGCACTTTACCCCTCTATTATCCCATATGTCAATCTGGATTCAACCAACGCCTGATAAATCATTCTGAGATGTTTTTCTTCGAGGAATTTGGTGATGTAGGTATTTGAATCTGTATAAGATACTTCTCAAAGTATTGTATTGTCTCAATATGTGTATGTTCCATCTTCCATCTTGAATGTTCATCTATGGTTACTCCCAAATATATTATAGATTCAGTCTGGTTTTTTTTTTAATTATTGCTGATTTTGAGGTCGCCGAATGAAGGATTGGTGTAATCATAACATGAGAAGGGCATATAAAAATGTTTTTTTCGAAATTGATTGTCAATAATTGAACCAGTTTTTGATAAGCTTCAAATCAATCTGCATAATAGTTCTTATATTGTCCCAGTTTTCAGATTCGAATACTATGGCGGTATCATCTGCGAAACTGATAACTTCCCCTGACAGGTTGATATTGAAAAGATCATTTATATAAAGTACAAAGAGTATTGGGCCCGGGAGAGTACCTTGCGCCACACTCAATATTGTATTCTGTACTCAAATTGCCATTGAGTAATACCTGTTGTTAGCTGTCACTCAGATAAGTTTCCATTAACTGTCTGGCTACTTCACGAAAACCCAAATCCTATAAAATGTCTAATAGTTGTGAATGGAAGACCGTGTCGAATGCTTTAGCAAGATCTAAAAATACACAAGCAGATGTTTTCCATTATTCATGATATGTTATTTTCCATTGTTCATGTTCAGTATTTACATGCAAAATAACACCCGTGTTGTGATTTTCAAATTCAACTTTTACGTAGTGCTTGTATATTTATTGACGATGTTTTATCAACACCACACTCCCAGCACTCCTAAATTCAAAATAGGAACGTGCCGTATGAATTCTGTCACATTATTAGTCATCAAGAATGGTACGGTTGCGCATTTAACTTTTTGTCAAAGTTGCCTCGATCTGAGAAACAAAAAACCATACTCTTTTTTTGTCAGTAGGTACATGCAATTTCTTCCAACTAATAGATATGGTAGATTGAAGACGGTTGGAGTCGCCTGATTTATGATAAAATAAGTGTTATGGATTGAAATTTTCCTAACAAGTTCGCGTTTTTCTTTCGAATGACTGTGAACGCGAGTTATCTGTGTTTCAGTGCGAGTTGTGTAAGTTAAATATGTGTGTTAAATATATGTGTTACGTGTAGTGAAATTTACCTAGTATTTTGAAGAGGGAGATTAGCCAGTATGTTTAGGTAATATTATTTCGAATGAAGTAGAATTAAATTATAAAATAATGGTTTACAGATACTGAATTGTGGTAGCCAAGAAAAGAGACTCAGGTAAGATTCAAAATTAGTTTTTTCTTTTTGTCTGTAGTGCTTTTTCAGGAGTCAAACTCAGTTATGTTTTGTTTCAAAACATAGTCAGCTATATTATTCTCTCTTCTTGTATTTTTCAATATCAACAAATTGAAATGTTAGCCATCTTCATGAAGCAAAAGAAATGCAAAATGTTCACTTTGATAACAACAATCCAAGCTGATTTCTTTTTTCGGTGAATATTCGTTTCAAAGTCTCGTTTTAGTTAAAAAAAAACCTACGTATCTCTGTAGATACGGTGGTCATGAATTTGAAGTTAAAACTTGGCGCTTTGGTCCATTTTCGAGGATACGGTTAATTGAAAGACAAAAAGGTGCCTTTTTCAGGAATTAACTTCTGATAATAAAAAGTTACAAAATAAAACTACTGCGGGCCTTCATTCTCTTACCACTTCCATGGTAAGAGAATGACTATATTGGTTCAAGAACCTGAATGATATTTTTACAATAGACTTTCTCGTAGACGGTGTTGTGAAATTCATATGAATTCGAAAAGCTAAGAAGTGCAACCTTCTTTTAAAAATATTCCTTCTACCAGATAAACCTTGTGAACCCAAAAACTCTAAAATTATGTAATACCAACCCTTTCCTAAAGAAGCCTAATCCTAGAACAGGAACCCACAAATATATTAAATGTGAATGAATGCTATTTATCATAATCATTCAAAATAAGTGAAAGTAACATCATAAATCTGCTACCATGTACTAATTTCAACGGTTCTTATAACCTTGAGAAACTTCTATCAACCTCTCAATCAGTAGACAGTTAAACATACAGGGTGAGTCAACAAGATTCCCTCGGTCCATTGCTATTAGGGAAAATAATATTTCGAATTGCTCAATTTTTTTTTCGCAGTCATATCGATAAATACTAGCCAACGTAGCCAACCAAAGTTATATTTTTTTAAATGGAACACCCAGTATATGAATGTGTCATTTAATTCCAATTTTTGTTTCCGAATTTCCATTGCCGCATTTCCAAGTTATTCAAGAAAGACCTATTTTGAAGACTCGTGAAGAAACAATTAGGTTCATTTTTAATAAATATCTTATAGATATTTTGGTCATATAGTGATTACGCTATTTTATATTATCGATATTGTCGACTTTTGCCCCTTAATAATTTTTTTATCATACATGAGCGAAGTGGGGATTTTTGATATTTTATTTTCAACATTATACAGGGCTTTTCATGATGAGTGTTAATTAGCCGTTTCTGGCAAACTATTCAACCTGAAAATTCCACAGTATGCATAAGTCAATATGACCTACACGCCTAAAATATTTTAGATGAAGCGGCGTTGTCGCTTCTACTATAAAGTAGCGGCTTCTTTGATTTTTCAAATGGAACACCCCGTATATAATATCATATTATGATTCATTATCACTTTGTCAACAAATTCATATCCTATTTCCCTATACCTATGTATTACCGTTTAGAAGATATAAATTAATTTCGATATTTTTTTTACCAAACATGCACTTTTATAAATGCTGATAATCTTGAACTCTCTTGCACTTAAACGATCAAATTTGAAATAAAGTGGAGTGATACTATGAGGATCTTCACTCCGAGTCATATTTTCATTTGCCTCATACAGGGTCTTCAAAAAATGCAGATACTTTGATCTCATGAAAAAATGAGTGGAACTCAATTTTTTCAAATAGAGCACCCTGTATATTTCAACATTTTTGAGCTCTATATCCAATTTCAGATTAACTTTGTTTAGATAATACTATTTCTATTTTGAACCGTTTTCGAGATAAACTGTTTCAAACGGAAATTGACATAGTTTCCTTGTTCATCACTCATTTTTGTAAAACATATTTCGTTTGATGTTTCTCAATTAGTCACAGATAATACAATGAAAAGATAATTATTAAAATACTCCTCAACCATCGAATGAAACTTCTCTTCAAACATTAGTTTTATTAACGCTGAAACACTAACTGAAAATAATAAACCCATAAATTAATGAGTTGATTTAATCGTCAGTGTATTTTAGAATATATTCAAACACATCTCCACCTCTACTTAAACAAACATGTAATCTCTTCAAAGGATTGTCCTGTGTAGCGCTTCTGATCAAGTCTGGAGTCAAACTATTGAAAGCAGTTGTAACTCTTGATTTCATATCTTCCATTGTTGTTATTGGAGTAGAGTAAACCATATTTTTAATGAAACCCCACACGAAATAATCTAATGGATTGCCATCTGGTGTTCTAGGAGGCCAACGAAAAGGTCCATTATTACCAATCCATCTGTCTTCGAAGATTTCGGTTAGAGCTTCGCTGACTGAATGAGAATTATGGGGTGGAGCACCATCCATTTGGTACCATACACGTTCTCTTCCTGGTCTATTATTTAAAATCATTTGAATTCCTTTCCTCAGTAAATCTTCATATTTTGATGCATTCAAATTATCATCAAAAAACTCGATATAAAAAATTGACTCATTCTTTATGGCACAAAATACATTGAATTGCCATCTTTCTTGAAAACACCTTTGGCGGACAACATGGGGATTTTCTGGCGCCCAATAATGACTGTTGTGTCTATTGAAAACTCAATTTTTTGTGAACTTGGCCTCATCTGTCCATATGATATGGTCAAGGAAATGTTCATCCTCTTGAGTCTTGACAAGTAACCATTCAAAGAATTCCACTCTACGAGGTAAATCAGTCTCTTTCAAATGTTGGACACAGTAGAACTTATAGGGATGCCATTTATGCTTATTGAAAATTCGATAAATTGTCACGTAGGGTATACCTATCTCTCTTTCAGCCTCCTGCAGAGAAGCATTTGGAAATGCATGAAAGTATACCAAAACTGTTATACCATTGTCATCATCATCCACTTTAGTCTTCTTACGAATGATTTTTGGACGGAAGGTTCCATTCAACCTACAGTTTTTTAGTAGTCGATTTATCACATTATTATTCGGCTTCGGAAGTTGTGGATATCTTTCATAAAATACTCGGCATGTTCTACTTGCAATTCTATTGCAATCACCATAAATTATTAATAAATTCAAGAAATCTTCATTACTGTAACCTAATCTTGACATTATTCTATTATAATTGGTAGCTATCACAATCAGTCAAAACCACCAACGAAAGTCTGACGTTAAATAATTGGTTTATTTATTTTTCCAAAGCACACTATTAAAACATATTAATGTGTACTGTTGTACGTTAGAGACCAATACCTCAATGCATATAAATTGTAACTTTTTTTAAGGTAGGTACATACCAATTTCGAATTGACTGATCTGAGACAGTTAAAAAATGGATCAAAAAGAAATATTACTAAGTATAAAAAAAATGTTGAATATCCAAAATAAGTGATGAATTCAAAAAAACGAGCAATTATGAGTCATATTTTCATTTGCCTCATACAGTTTACCTCATAGTATCACTCCATTCCATTTCAAATTTGATCGTTTTAGTGCAAGAGAGTTCAAGATTATCGGCATTTATAAAAGTTCATGTTTGGTAAAAAAAATATCGAAATTAATTTATATCTTCTAAACGGTAATAGATAGGTATAGGGAAATAGTACATGAATGAATGAATGAATAGTACATGAGTGATAATGAATCATAATATGATATTATATACGGGGTGTTCCATTTGAGAAATCAAAGAAGCCGCTACTTTATAGTAGAAGCGACAAAGCCGCTTCGTCTGAAATATTTTACGCGTGTAGGTCATATTGATCTATGCATAAATAGTTTGTCAGAAACGGCTAATTAACGCTCATCATGAAAAGCCCTGTATTCAAGTCGTATGCCAATTTTCACCTTTATGCAAAGTATCGTGAGTAGAAAAGATTATTTTGA